ACTTTTCCACACCTGGTGCCACACTCCTAGCACACTGGCACTGGAAAATCGCTGCCTTTTCTTCAAGGGCTTTGTCACTCTGTCCCAGCCTCAGGGGTCTCTGAGTGAAGCCCCTGCAGTTCTCCTCTTCCCTTATTGAGGGCCAGTAAATGCTGTTGTAAAGATGGTCCGTGATAGTGCCTGGTACCAGGAGGGTCCCAGTGCTGATGCAGAGCCAGGGTAGCAGGATCCTCCAGGGATGCTCCACTCACTGCCAGCCTTTCCAGCGAGTGAAGGCAGAGGGTGGCTTCCCGTGCCCAGTGTCTCCTTCACTGACGAATTTCTCAGCCCATATAAACCACTTGCGGTTCTGTCCCATCCGTGACCAGAGACAGAGAAAGCACCGTCCCCTCCACTCCCATCTGCCAGTGCATTAAGAAAATGAGAGCTGATTAACGTCCATCCCCTCCTGAGCACCATTGGTCCCCAGCAAATTGCTGACACCACCGATTTAGGGGCAGTGGCAGACAGGTGGACTTCCCTCCCTCTGCAGGCATCCATACTTGGATGGGTTGCTCAGGTCTGAGCAATTGCTATAGTCAGAAGAAGTGCTTTAATTGCACAGAATGAGCGTGTTAATCAGATATTTTATTCTATCACCTGTCAAAAGGTTGGTTCAGGCAGTGCCTTTGCTTGCAGACCTGCTCCTCCACTGCACAGCAGGCGAGGATGCTGGGATGGGATGGGAAGGAGCTCATGTGCCCACACCACCCCAACAACCCACAGAGGCTGGAAGGCCCCTGTAGCACCAAAAACTCTCCTGTTTCTCAAGGCAGGCCAACTGGAAAGCCCCATTTCCCTCCCATTAATCTCCACCTGCCAGCACTTTCTAGAAGGCAGTTAAGAGCAGTGAAACGCAAAGCCCTGGGTTCCTGCTCCAAGGGTGTCTGCCAAGACACACAGATCGTATCAGGCTAATTTACAAAAGGAAAACCGCCCTAATTAGTGTTCAGGAAAGCACTTTAATGAGAAAAGCATTAGTGCAAAAAGCGAGAGTGCCAAGAGGTCAAGCTGTTCCTAAATGCCAGAAAACCAGGAAACGGGGCAGAGCCCACCCAGGATGCAGCACAATTTTCTCACTTTTTAAACAATATCTCAGGTTATTAGTGAGGAATTCATGAAACCCAGAGCCAAATGCCCAGTGGCAGGGCAGAGCCTGTACACAAAAAGCTCTCAGCATCGCGATGCCGGGTGTGGGCAGGGCTCGGAAGTCCCTGCAGCCGTCTCCCCTCCTTTTTGGGGCAGAGTGCGGGTTTTATGGCTGGAGTTCCCCCCCTGTGAAAGGGAGACCAGAAGCCCTGTCAATGCTTCCAGTCCCGTCTCGCTGGCGGCTCTGACGGTGGCCAGTAACCATGGCAGCGGAGGGATTTTCACGTGATGTTGGTATTTCTGCAGCACAAAAGAGCCTCTTATCTAGAATGAGTAACTAGTCTGGCTGGTCTTCATTCCTTCAGTTACTGCTAAGACAGAGCTGCACGGAGCGGCTCATGTGATGCCCACCCTGGGGCCAATTCGGACCATCCACGTGATGCTCATCCTGGGGTGAATCTGGACCATCCACGAGGAGACACATGGGAGGCTCCAGAAGGCCCCGATGTTCGCGCAGGGGGCCAGGACAGCAGTCCTGCTGTGTGGATGCAGAGCCCTCCTCCCCACCTCTTCTGACAGATAGAGCTGGGAAGGGAGCAGTGGCTGTCCTGGCAAGCTCGAGTTTTCAAAGTGAGCACCTGCAAAACCGTGTGGAGCACTTTAGGGGTGTGACAGCCCAGAGCTGGCAGGGGTGTTCCCTGGCCACCCCATATCATCAATCCCCACAACCTGATTTATCTCACTTCCCCAGTTGTTTATGTTTCTTCTCAAATCCCTTCCAATTTGTCCAAGAAAGAAGTTTTGAGACTTTAACTGTTTGACTTCCAGCTCTTCTCATGTATCAACTGACTTCTAAAAGCAGGAAAAGCTACATGAAATAATGTGGGTTTCTAGGCTTCTCTTCTTCAGATGAACTCACACCCAACTCACTGATATTGTGCAGGTCTCCCTAAGACATTCACCCTATGACATGAAACAAGGTGGGTGAGTTTCATCCCAAAATAAGAATGGGTAAATGAGGAAAGAATGGGAAAAGGAAAAAGGTCATCAAGCCTGAGCTCAGCCTAAACTGAGCTGTTAATAAACACTAGCATGGGCACCTGTGGGCTTGTGAACCTCTGTGTGCCCCTTCCCAAATGGTGGTCTGGCTGTTTTTCAGGGTGTTAACTCCAGTGGGACCATTTCTGCACTTAAAAGGAGCTGCTTGCTCAGGACAGAGAAAACCAGAGTTTTGTTAGCTCCATTTAAGAGGAAGATAAAAGGGATTCGGAGGGGTTTATATGCAACCATGACTCAAAGCAGAGCTACACATGGGAAAAAAATTATATATAGGCAGAAAAAGTGGGTTACAGACTGTTCTCTGAACTAGGGCTGTGTCCTGCTGGTTAAGGTCTGCAGGCTTCAAGGTTAAAGTGCTTAATTTTATTTCAGGCTTTCTAATTGAACACCATTTAACTGGGCTTTCCATTTATCCTGAAATTTCTTTCTGGACCTGAGTCTAATCCTCAAACCTGCTTATTTGCTTTTACTTTCGTTACAACCTTATCAGTGATTAACCTGCAATTGCACTTAATCTTTTTAAAAGATTGCTCTGGCTATAAATACAGAGAAGCTACCTGCCCTGTTTCTATCCAGGGGAAACCAACTTCCTCCACCATCAGATGCCTGATTTTTTTAAAGGGAGACATTTGTCTTCTTTGACTTCATACAGAGCATTGAATCAGTATCAGTTCTCTGAAAGACGTAACAGCACAGGTCACAGGGAATATGACTATAAAAAGTATATATATGTATTTATATTAATACTTTTATATATGTAAACAGTATATATAAAGCCTCCAGTAAAGATGCTGCTTGTGATAGTGAAGGCAAAACCCGTCACATTCCTACAGCTCCAACAGCAAGCTCTGCTTCCTCCTCCAGCAGTCCTCTATTCCACGTATTTCACTAAAAAGCAGCAACAGCTAAAATATCACTGCAAGAAAACCTGGTTTCTATGGCAATAAGCAGCTGCCTGGCAAGATCCCTCAAGTACTGCATTCATATTATTAGAGGATCTCATATCAGATAGACCCAAGACTTGAGGACACCAAGTGGAAGGAGCAAAAGCTGATAAGAAATGCAGTAAAGGTACATGGAGCATTACCAAATCCATCAGGAACGTTCCAAGGGCAGTTGTAGGGGACACAGAGTGATAAGTGCCCACTGTGAGATACTCGCTGGAACAAATGCAAAGAAGCCCATTGCAAATACAGCAAAACTGGTAAATGAGTGGAATTACAAAATTCAGCAGAAAGCCAGCTCATGGCAACCCCCAAACCAAGAGGCACTGAAGTCCCTTCAGCCTCCCTGTCACCTCTAAATAGTCCTGCACAGCAAATAGACCTGAGCTCAACTCCCCAGCCCAGCCCGTAAGCCCAGCCCTACCTTGACCTTAATTATTACCTGGAGAGTAATCCCTCCAAAGAACTAAAGCCGTAAGCAGAACACAGGGAAGGATAATTTCAAATGTCCCCGTGCTTCCAGAATTACCAGTCGTGTATCCATCACCATCTCATGCTGCATGTTGAAAACTAAGATCTTCAAGCAATATTTGCCATTTAAGAAGGAGTTTTTCCCTCCTGCTGGTGATTAAAATAAAAATTACAATTGTTCTGCCAGTATTATGTGACCTCTAAATTATTTATTGGAAAAATCTGTGAACTGCATGTTCAGGACTTTCTGGCTCTGTTGGTGCATCAGTGAGCAAAAAGTGGGAAAACAACTGGAAGGCTGAAATAAATCCACAGCAAAAGAACGGTAATCTACGTGGTGTTTATTGTAGATACAGTGAATTATGAAAGCCATTACACCTCACTATTTATTTAAATGCTTTTTCTAAACTGTATCAAACCATAGCAGCAAATCAGAGCCCCAGTTTGACTTTTGCACATTTCCTGGTTTGATTATATAAATGTTTATAGAGTGAAAAGAAAATACTTTGCACTCTACACGGAAACCTTCCACCCAGCAGGAAACCACTTGCAAATGACTGAGGACGAGAAATATTCAGGGAGGTTTGGGTGAGTGCAGCCTCTCCCCTGCAATGTGAAGGGCAGTTGTGGCATCAGACCCTCCTGCAGTACAGTGGAGCTCGTTAAATTTGTTTAAAAGAAAGCAAGCCATTGTTAATTAATGCTAACATCTATTCTGGCTTTTTCTGCCACAGAAACCCATCTATTTTGCAAGAGAGGGGGGAAAAAGCAATGAAAGAAGAGGATCCCAAAGGAGATGAAGATCAGCCCCAGGCTGCTGATGGGAAGAGGGATCACCCGGGGGGGTGATGCCAGAGCTGACACCCTGCATGAACAGCCCTGGCTGTCTCACAGCCAGACCTGTGGAACCTGCAGCACTGCTCACAGGATTTGCTGAACACCTGAGAAGCCCCTTGGCTGTGGAGATGGGGCTGCTCCCTGCGGTAAAACCTGCCCCAGCTTTTCCTCCAGAGGATGGAAACTGTCTCCTCTCAATGGAGCCGGCGGTGCCGTGGGGATGTGGTGAGCAAAAACCTTGGGGAGGATCTGCAGTGTCTCATTTGGTGCCATCCCACTTCTCACCACCTCTCAGCTCACCAGCAGCTGCTCTGGTTGGTGCTGGGCCTGAGGAAGAAGAGGACCTGGTGGTGCTGGGAGAAGATCAGACACCTTGAGCCATCAGCTGGGTGTGCTGGCTGCTAATCAGATGTTCACTTCCCTTCCAGTGCCCAGTCCCAGCACTGGGAGAGTGTCTTCACAAGTGCCCTGTCGCAGCAATGAGCAATACCAGCGTGGCTCCTGCATGGGAAAT